CCGGTCCTTGCGTCGCCGAGATGCCCGGGACGGTGCTGCTGCTGTGCCTGGCCCTCGGGCCGTTCCTGCGCGCCAGGTGAGTCCCCCCCTCGCCGAACGGAGACGCCCCCTCCTCGCCTCAGTTTACCCGTCGGGGCAGTAGGAGGGAAGGGGCTGGAGTCTCAGCATCTCTCCCCATGCCACCCCACCCCGGCTTCAGCGGGGGTTTGGGCATCTCTGTGCGGTTCCTTCCAGCCGACCCCGAGGCAGGGTCAGGTCTGGTCGTGGCAGTACCTAGCGCCTGCATGTGCTCTGCACGTCGAGTTCCCCCTTCGCATGCCGGGAATCAAGAGAACATCCCATTTTCCACCCCACCATTACTTCGCTGGCTGAATCCTGCTGGGGGCTGAGCCCTTTCTGGGGATGCGCAGAGCAGGACCTGCGGGAGCTTGGTACCTCCTGGGGGCTCCATCCATCACCGGAGCATTTCCACGTGCAGTCGGGCTGGGTGGGAAGGAGCCTGTGTCCCCTTCCCTGCACCCCATCCCCTGGCACCCTGAAAGCCCCCACAAGTCTTGCAGCCTGGCAGGAGGAGGGCAGTGTGGGCTCCTGCCTTGTTCCACAGGTTGGCCTCAGGTCCCAGCTCTGGGTGCCAGCTAGGAGTCCGATGCCAGCCTGATGCCACTGGCACGCTGTGCAAGGAGGCGAGCAGAGGCATGGGGCTGACAGATTATGGTTCTCTCCCAGGGCCAGTGGTTCATAGCGCTTTTCTGTAAACAGTGATGAAAGGCCCCATGCACAAGGGGTTTTCACGTTTCTTTTTCCCCCCCCCTTTTTTTTTTTACAACTCCTAGCTCTGCTGGTGAGTTTAATGGCTAAATCAGGGAAAGAACATGTTCTCAGCAGATTGTTGCCCCCAGGGCTTGGGGGAAGAGGAATTTTACTGGCTGAAGCTAATTGGCAGAATAAGCCGCCTTAAAGCCGATCAAATCCCATTACAAATGCAGTCAGGGACAGGGAGCATGAATCCTGCTACAAATGGTCTGCTCTGCCAAGGCTTCCCGACCTCAGGTGTGGGCAGAAAGTCAGTCCCTGCTGCGGTCCTTTGGAGCTTCCCAGGGTCAAGGCAGCAAGAGCTGCCCCATAGCTCTTGCCCTGACACCCACCCTCTCTCCAGCATGCTGGTGCTGGGGGGGGGCATTTGAGGGCCAAGAGGGTGGTCCGTGGTGGTCCCAGTTCCTGCACCCTACCATCTCTGCAGCACCCTACCGTCCCTGCAGCACACTGCTACGAGCACTGCATTTTCAGAGGGTGAGTTGTAAGCCGCAAGATCACACGGAGGAGCAGTTAAGTCATGTATTCACATGCCCTTGAGCAGGAAGATTTACCCTGTAGCTGACCCAGCTTCCCTTCTGCCCAGTTTCTCGTGTCTACCTTTTCCCTGAGCCTCGCTTTGCCAGGAACAGTGTCTGTGCATGTTGGGGGAGTGATGGAGTGGGAGAGGAAGTCTTTGGGAGAAGAAGGAGAAAAGGAGCAAGTCATATCAGGGTCTTACTCTGCATTCACTGCATTTTTCCTGGCTGCAGTTTGCAGGGGGTGAATCTCACCTGCCCTACACTTGATGGTGGGTTGCTGGGGTGAGGAGCCAGGTTCAGGCACTACGTGTGTGCGAGCTCTTCTCCTGGCACAAGCTGCAAGACCCTGGTGCTCGAGAGGGCTGGATGCTTTGTTCCAGGTGACTCAGCACTCTAGATGGTTCCCCCACCAGTGTTTCCCAGGACACTGCCTCGGTTGGGACCAAGGCAGCCAACTCTGAGCCCTGAAGGCAAGATCGCTGCACAGCATCACACCCCCAGAAAGCTGGGCTTGGCAAATGGTTGAAACTGTGCAGACTTGATGACTGGGGCTTCATGGAGTGTGCTGTGAAAGCAGAGGTACAAAGACATGTGAAACGGGTAGGGTACAGTTTAGTGAGCCCCCGTCCTTAAATCCTCTGCCTACTACTAATTCAGAGTAATTTGCCTGAATGTCCCTGTGCCTACAACCCTTGGAGACATTGGGATGCGTGGCTAGAAGGAACATTAGCATGTGGTAATTAGGATTGACCACAGTGCTTTTCAACCAAGTGTTGTTCTTGCATTTTGTTGTCTGTTCCTCAGGAGCAGGGGAGGCTTTGAGCTGCATTTGCAGAGGGGCTGGACAATCACAGCCTCAGTATCTGCTCTGGGATGTTCCTGCCTCAGGGCTAGGGATGGCTGAGAGGGTGTGTGTCACACCCCACCCCCAGCCAGTGGGTGCAGGTCTCAGTACAAAATTTTACTGGTCTCATACTTCATTAACACATCAGGTTGCAAGTAGTAGCGGGTGTGCATCCTGGTCAAGCACCATCAGCTGTCCTACTAGGCAAGGAGCAGAAGCGTCTTTGAGGGCTTGTGGCACATGTTGCTCTTCCCCTCCCCCTGCCAAGGGAAACCTTGTCAGACAGCTTGGTCACTGGGGGAGGGAGCCAGCCACCAGCTCTTTGGGTGGCTTTTACTTTGACCATGAGTGTGCTTGGAAACCTCAGCAAAACAGGTGTGTGCTTGAGTAAAACAGAATTAGGGAGGCAAGGCAGAGCACTGCCCTGCTGGAATGTCAAGGGTTGCCCAAGGAGAGTTGTCCAACTCCATCCATATATGTGAGCACATCTGAAAGGACATCTCCCTGCTGTGCTGCTCCTGTGCATCTCCCTGTCCCTCCTGCTCTGGGCACCAGTGGGAGCTGCCACGGCCCTGACTGCGTCTGTCAGACCAGGGGTTTCCTTGCAACATCCCCAGCTCTGCCCTGCCATCATCCTCCCTGCGCACGCTTGCAGCTGCATCGGCAGCTCCGTGGCCTAGCACAGGAGTGCTGTCAGGCGGATGTTTTGACATTTCAACAAGCGGAGGTGAGGAAACATGGCTCTGCCTTTCCTCCTGGCTGCATGGAGACATACGAGAACTGGCTGTCCCCTGTCACTGAGACAGTCGCTTTGTATGAGGAGATGGAACCACTGGGCTGGCAAGTGTTCACAGCGCATTGGGGATTGCCGCAGGTTTGCAGTTTGACATTTCCATTAGCAGCTGTGGGGGGGACATGCACATGTGACCTTAATTCTTCTCCTCTGCAATAGCTCTTGCACTCTTCCCTTCTTGATATGAAGTGGGGCCACTCGGAAGAGAGACTGAGGAAAAGCCAGGGGCTTGCATCAGGTGACATGAGAGTCATACTCCTGACCAGGCAGAGCTAGTGTGTGTCTGTGTGTGCACAGGCACCCAGCAAAAGCATATGTTCTCCAGCAAAAGCTGGGTTGCTTATGCTAAGATGGCTTAGTATGGTTTAGTAGTCCAGGATTAGCTGCTTTAGCAAAAAGCATATTTTTGGTAATGTCACTGCATCTGTAATAGGGATGTGACTTCCTGGAAATGCTACCCCAAGCCTTAGGGTGTTAATCAGCAACACTAAATGAGGGGAAGCCAGAAGGTTGAGGTCAGAGTAACCAACCAGGTTTTGTTCGGCCCTGGAGGGATGTTTCAGACTCTACTGTAGCCTTACGGCTTGCAGGAACTGGATTTTGGCAGGGTAGAGGGACATGCAGAGTTCAGTGCTGGCAGATAACCTGTCTTGAGCTGACTTCAAGTAGTGTCAAGGGAACACTGAGATAAAGTTTCAGTGTAGCTATTCTGACTCTGCTAGAGGCAGCCTATGTCACCCAAATCACTGGCAGCAAGGAAAAGAAGTTAGGATTGCATTCCCCTGCCCTGAGCTGGAGTTTGGGCAGAGATGTGTGTCCCTCTTTGTGCCCCACGGGAGCAGGGCCAGCCCCAGATTTCGGCTCTGGCCAGTTTTCAGGTGGGCACAGCGGTGGTCCCCTGTGTCTCCCGCAGCTGCTGGATGCTGCGGAGCTGTCTGCTCAGCTGCATTTCGAAGGCATGCCACAGCATGACAGCCAGGCGAGCCCACACTGCTGTTGCTCAGATAGGGAAGCACATCCTGACAGCATTGCTTGAGACTCCTTAAGCATCGTTAGAAAGTGCAGTGCAATCAGACAGGAAACAACAAGCTGATGTACCAGTACCTAATGTGCGGCGGCAGGCAGCCAGCTGCATGCAGCCTAGCCCTTGTCAGGGGACCCATCCTGGTGCCTGAAAGCTGGGGAGATGCAAAGAGTTTTAAAGTGATTGTGAAAGCAAGTTTTATCTGGGGTTTTAAAAGAGGAGCATCTGATAAATTGACTGCAACATGTCAATTTAATGCTTTTTCCCCCCCTTCAAGTACCTTTGACAGGCTCTGCCTCCCCAGGCACTGAAGGGAGATGTGTATTGGTGGTGCCTGATTGCACCTCAGAGCTGCGAGGCTCCAGCTGGGAAGCGTCAACACAGTGGCAGCTCCCGCTGGGAGACCCTTTCTGGCATTGGAGCAGGTGACATGCTGACATGGCAGACATCGAGGCCGGTGTGCTGGGTGTGGGACTGCTCAACATCCTCTCCCACATATGGCTGTGTCGTTCCGGGGACAATCTTGTGAATGAGCTGCCCAGAGCAGTGGCAGGTGGTTAGAATTTCCCAGGTGACCATGTGGACCTAATTTAATTAGAGGGTTTAGGAAAACTCCTTTAGGGAAAGGTTGGGTGTGACACGTTTAGAGAGGGCAGATTTGAAAGGCAGTGGGAGAAGCTGTTGCTTAGTGGATCATGTCCAAAGGAGGATGCAAGCTTTCCTTGCCTGGCTTGGAACTGGAAGATCAGGAAGATGGAGCATCTTTAAATGGAAACTGATGCCAAAAGCTGGGGAGGGAGGGTTAGTGAGCATAGGGAATGGGTCATGGCAGGTCTTGGCCTGCGGGCAGAGGAGTTTGCAGAAGGCTTTAATTTCCCAGGATCTGTGCAGGGCAGATGGCTGGATTCCTGGCAAGCCAGTAGTGCATGCTGTCTGCTTGGTAGTTTTAGGACCTCTTTTCTCTGAAATGCTTTTATTGTAAATGCCTTGCTCCCCAAAAATGCTGTTTGGTTACTCTATTCTTACTCAGAGGAAGCCCGCTTCAGGTGCAAGTGTCAGGCAGAGCAGCTGAGGTGTTTGGGGTTAACAGGCAGCTCCAGGAGCTGCTAGCAGCAGAGGAGGGCCAGGAGTGGGATGGGCAGGAACATGGCAGGGGAGGACAGGGCAGGGACTGGCTCCCATGCTTCAGAGATGAGCGGTGTGTCCAAAGGGAGCTGGGGAGGATGTGGAGCACCCCATGCCTACTAGTCCTCACCACTGGTGGCAAGGTCCCTGTGTGTCCAGGGACCCTGAAGTGAGCAAAGGTGCCAGGTGAGTTGTGTCATCGTAGTAGCATGGCTGAGAGGAAACCCTCGAGTTCCTCATGTTCTGCCTTTTAGCAGTGCTGCTGTACCTCTGAAACCCAGCTGTGCTCCTGCTTCCACAGAGTGCCAGAGAGATACCACAGTGATGTCTCTCCTTTTGTCTGTCCACTCCAGGTGTGAGAGCACAGAGGAATACGATTATGATTACCTCAGCATCAATAAAACCTGGGTCCTCACCCCCAAGGCACAGGAGACTGATGCCACGCAGATCCTCAACTTGCTGCTGAAGAACTATGACAACAAGCTGAGGCCTGACATTGGCAGTAAGTGTCCCCTGAAGCTCTCTGTCACCACAGGTGGTGACCTGGCCTGGCTGTGTCTTGTGTTTTCCATGCTTTTGTGGCTGCTGTAGTTGGGCTTTTTGGGAAGATGGAGCCATGTTGATCCCAGACGCTCCCCTGATCTTCAGCCCTTCAAAACTGATACTAGCCCTAGCTCATCCATACCTATTTTATTTTCTTTACAGTCAAGCCCACGTTTATTGATGTGGATATCTACGTGAACAGCATCGGGCCGGTGTCTGTTATCCAGATGGTGAGTGGTGACATTGCTGCAGGGTTGTGGTATCACCACAGCTGAGACTGTGGGAGGCAGCTGGCCCAGTGCTGCTAGCAGGTTGTGTCATGCTGGCTAGACATGGTGTGAAGGTGGTGGTGTCATGAGAAGAGGTGGATTTGTTTACCTTCCTTTGGGAAGAGGTGCTCTGACCTGCTGACAGCTGGAGCTAGAAAGGCTTGACAGCCATCTCAGGTTAGGAGCAAGGTCCTCAAGTGCCCTTGGTGAGCTCAGCAACCCTACCATGCTTATGAGCTCAGGTAGAAGGATGATGATGCTCTTTGATCTCCATTGGCAACGTGTGGACAGACATCTCTGCCTGGTGGCTTTGTCCTGGTTGAGCCAGTGCAGTGGTGGCTGAGAGGGGGAGCAGTGTGTTTCCCAGGAGGACTGAAATAGGTACTGGGAGATAGTTTCCATGGCAGTGGTCTGATGGTGTGAAACTTGGGTGCCCAGGCCTGGCCTGCAGTGCTGGGGAGGGGCAGACGGGGTGCCTTGGGGCAGACGGCTCTTCTTCAGTACATAGCATCTTAGATTTATGCTACCACAACTGCAGCTACTCATGGCTTAGGACCCTGCAGTACTGGGTGCTGCAGAAACACTTAACAGAGATGCTCTTTGGCCTGAAGAGCCTCAGGGCCATGCACTGGAGAGCAACTGTCCATTATTTATTTTTCACAGGAAACTTCCATTATTATTTTCCCTGTGAAGTAATTTTTTCCTCTTTTCTTGCAAGAAACAAACCTGACTGCTGTCAAGTTTGGAAAGACTTCTTTGGCCCACTAGGCAGTGGGATGGAAAGGACAAAGGAGAGGTACAGCCAGGACAATTCATCTTTTTGTGCATCTCAATGCAAAATGGACCAGAAAGAAAACCAGCCCCCCTAAACTGAAAAAAGAAAGTTCTCACAATGGGCATGTTGTTTTTAGTTTCCCAAGTAGAAAATTTCCACTGAACAAACCCCTCTAGGGATGGAGGAATGGCATTGTAGTTGTTGTAGTTGTTGTACCACTTTCACTCCAGAAATTCACTCCTTCATTCTGAAGCTACCCTTCTGACCAGCCACCACCGAGCATGTGCCTCCAAGCAGCACCTGCTCAGGAGCCACCAGATGGGGACCTGGCTGGGTGCTCGCTTGCACGATGAGGCCACCATCAGGAGGCCCAGCAGGGATGGCCTCAAGGCAAAAAAAAATTCCTTTCATTGTGTCTGTGGGCCTGGATTCTGGGAGGAGAACTACAGCCCAAGCCATGTGGATGTCATCCCTGGCTGCCAGCAGATGCCACAAGCTCCTCCCTCCCATGTGTGTATGTGGACATGAAGTCACAGCGATGTAAGAGCAGCAGTGCAGGGGGAAGGGTGCAAGGGCTGGATGTACTCACTTGCACCCTGGCCTCTGCCGTGCCTGGAGGTAGTGGAATAAGAGTCATGTTATAGGTGGCTGTCCTATCTGCTTTGCACTGCCCAAGGATATGCCAAGAAAACCACACAAAACCACAGTGCGTGTCCTCATTCCTTATCTTTCCCTCTTAGCCATTTACCTTACCCCTTTCCACCCCTGTTAGAAGCTCTGCTCTCCTCTCTGTCACAGGAGCACTGCATAGCCATGCAGGTGGTAACAGTAGAGAATGGCTTATAAAATCCAGTCTTGCATCCAGAGTTCATCTCTTCTTCTAAATGGAGATATCAGGCACTGCTGCTAATCTGGTTTCCTAAGAAACACAGTTATGCCATGGTGATGGGTATGTGAGAATGTACATCCATCCCAATTTTTCAGTATTTTGGATCCACTGGGCTAATACCTACCATATATGGGTGCAGGTATAGGAGCTTCAGGCATATGCAGCATCTCCAGTATTTTTGTGAAAACAGGATGAAGGCAGTAACAACAGCCATCCCCACCAAGGGGAAAAATTGTATGAACTCAACCCTTAATAGACACCAGAAAATCATATGGGAGAGTGCTGCTGAAGACAGCCCTGACTGTTCCTAGAGAGCTCAACCCATGTCTTTAGCTCTTTCTAAGAGTCAGCAGAGGGTTTTATGCCTCACAAAGTGAGGCTCCACAACTGTACAGGACCACAGGGGGTCCCAGCGCACTTAATGCGAGCCTGGAGTGTGAAGGCAAGACTGGCACTTGGAATTGCCTACATCTGCAGGGCTCTGCTGGGGAAGCTGCTGCCACAGGCATAATCTACCCATCTGCAGGGAGGTATTGCCATTTGTGGCAATGGCATGGCAAGGAGCTGCTCAGGCAGGGGAGGAAACCACTCCAGGTAGAGACAGTTGAGAGATTTTGTGGCATCAGTCACAACTGGCTGCACTGTTTCTCTGAAGTGCCTGGATGCTACAAGTCTGGGGTCCCTGCTGGGTCCCAACAGTCACCACTGATCTGAATGTACCTGTGTATGACTCCCTGAGTAGAATCTCTGACACCTCCCCTTCCCCATGCCCTTAGGTAACTTTCTAAGCTTGAATCTGTGATGCCCTTGAGCTTTAAAACCATTCTCCCTGAGATGCTGGGCTGATATGAAAGATACTGAGGACAGCTAGACCCAGGTCTTGTAACCTTGGATGGCAGCTTTCTGCCATCTGTACTCTGAGTATCTCCCCCTGCTTATGAGAGAGGCTGCATCCTGCTATAATTTCTCCTGAAGTAAGATAAAAGAGCTGTCACAAAGCTGCCACAATGTCACCTCTGGACTTGGCTGCTTCACCCACTTGTTTTGTGTTTGTTTGCTTTTCTGTGCTGATGCAATGAATTAAGTCATTCTGTGGGTCCTGCCAGCCATTGGCAGGCTGGCATCAAACATATGATACAGATTGTCTTTGCTGGAGACATGTCATTCCCACTTTGCCTCTTTTTATGTAGCTTCTCCCAACCTGAGAAGCTGCCTTCTCCCAGCTGTCAGACCCATCCCACATGCCTGATCTTTCCCTTTTCCCAGATGCAACCTGAGGAGATGCACATTTCTGAGGAAAGGGAACCAGAATTTGACTTGGAGCTAGATATCTCCTCATGAGCCCATGGTGATATTTCTCTCTACCGCAGATACAGAGGCTCGTGTAGGCTGGAAAGTCCACTGGAGGGGAAATGTCCCACTGATCTCTTTTAGGTACGTTGTGATGACAATGTCTTATGTAAACAGTTCTCTTTCACATAGCCAGGCTATGTAAAAGATAAAAAACTAGTTCTGCTTTTAAGAAATATTGCAGCACTACTGTGGCTATTAGCTTGGACCAGCATGATCTGTGCATCTGAAGCTGAAGGCTTCATGTCCCTGACATGCTGGTGGAATAGAAGGCTCCAACTTAAGCAATGTAATTTGCATATTGGTGTCCTGTGATCTTCTGCTCACCCCTCAAAGGGTGAATGACGCACGACTGCCTTCAGCCTGGCGATGCTCTGTCAGGGCTTGGAAGCTGGCCCTGCAGAGCTGCTGCTCAACCTCCAAATGATAAATCATGTCAGGATACAAAACTGATTCTGGTCCTTAAAAATTAATAGGTGATTTGAAAATGCCCTGTGCTGGGTGTGAATTCTGCATCCCTCTCATCAATCACTTGTCATAAATAACATTAACATTCAGGAGTCAGCAGAAGGCGGGCAGGTTTGGAGGGGGAATAAATGTAAAGTGATTTCCTGGTATCTTTTGTAGACCAGAATGGCAGTCTTGTTTCCCATTTAGGTAGTTGAGCAAATTTTACATTCTCTTCTTCCTGGGGAAAGGACCCTCTGTGCTCTGCAGCCAAAATGTGGCAGTAACTAGAAATAAAGCTAGGAGATGGTTAAATGATAGGAAGTGCGATGGGGCTTGGTTGAAAGAGGATGAGCTGAGAGGGAAAAGGGTGCAGAAAAGTGGGGACCATTGGGTCCCACAGCTGTTTGCTACAGTTGCTCCCCACTCCCATGAACCTGTTGTCTTTGGGTGGGATTGGGGCAGTTGGTGCTTCTCATGGTGGTGGGAAGATGCGTTTATGCTGTTGGGGAAAGGATGCACTCTGCCACAAGCCATTCCAGAGCTGCCTGCTGCCGCTGGGTGCTGGCCAGCAGCACCTCAAGCCAAATGAGTTATCACCCACAGTGCCACAGCTTTCCAAGCTGTGTCGTGGATCTGGATGCCCAATTAGATTCCTGTTAACACAGACAGTGTTTAGGTGTCCTGGGCTTATCGCTAAGCTGAGCCTGGCGCAAAGAACCACCTTGGTTCTCCGAGCATGTTGTGGGAAGAGGTGCCAGGGAGGGCTGCGGCAGCAGGGACAATGGAGGAGACTTTGGGTTCAAATTTTTTGCTGACTGGTTGTTTGCTGGAGGGATTTGCTCCTGGTTTTGTTTTGTAATGGCTTTATTGCTATAGATTATGGCTTTAACTGGTGTCAAGGGCACCTAGAATTCTGGATCACTTTCCTTTAGGGATGCTTAACACTCAGGAAATGATGCTTTAGAAGTAAAGCCAGCTATTGGGGCTGAGTGTCTTTCAGTTCTGAGGATGTCTGTGAAGTATCCAGGAGGGCCAGCATGGGTGGGAGTGGAAAAAATGCTTCTGTTCCAAGATTGAGGAGCAAGCTCTGCCCAGAGCTTCTCAGATTCCTTCCAGAGGTCAGAGCTGAATGTCCATTTCTTCCTTTCTTGCACAAAATGAAGCATGAGGCTCAAGGAGTTGAACACCGAGAACCTAGCCCAAACACTGTGGTAACCTCCCGGCCAGAGTGAGTGGAGACATACCATTCATCCATCGACCTGCCTTGGTTACCTGTTTCAGGTGTCTGGAATCAGAGGCAGTGCAGCCAGGGCTAGTTTAGGTGCTAGAGACTCCTCTCTCTGGTATGTGTGAGGAGATGCCCTTGCGTGCCAAATTCTGTAGCAAAATTTGATGACAGCTCTTCTGCTGGGATTGTGCACCACCTCAATCTCATTACTTAATGATAATAAAGATAGAAAGAGCAAAATTGGCTACTGTTATTCCCCAGGGGCCAGATTCTGCTGCCTCTGAAGTGCCTGTGATTTCCAGGGGGTAAGGCTAAGCTCCTGCCTCCATTATTACAGCAAATTATTCACTTAGCTCTGCCTGAGAGCGGGGGACTGGAACCTGAACAGGGTGATGTGTCCACATACATGTGTTGAATATTCCCCCCTTCCCTCTTTAGGAAGGAGATGCTGCGCACTATTAAATTCATAATGCTGTGTCTGGCTGTATTAGTTACCATGCAACACAATAACGAAATTGAGTATGAAGAACATATTTTCCCATGTCTGGAGTACTGCAGAATAGATTTAATAGATTTGCATGTATGGTACATTTGTGAAAACACTGTGAAAAAGGGGGAGGGAGGGAAGGGGGAAATGTTTATTTGTTATCAGCTGATGAATAATTAATTTACAAACGTTGTCTTGTTAAATATAAATTAAATCCTTGTTTGACACACTTTATAATTTAGAAGTATAAGCCCAGCATGAATGAAGAGAACTCCCCACTGACTGCTTTCAAGTAAATCCTGAGGAGCCAGGGAGGGAGGTTTGGCTTTCAAAATTAAAGCTGACAAGGAGTGTCAGTGAGGAGGGGGCTGCTGTGACAAAGCCAGCTTGGGAACCTAGGGCGCTTTGCTTATGGGTGCTTTCTGTGCAGGGTTGCCTTAGCGGGGCAGGGCAACAGTGGCTGGCTGCACAACCCTCTTCCAAGGATTGCTTCCTCCCTGCTCAGAGCTGCAGGTGGCCGAGCTGCTGAATCACGGCTCTTTGAGTAAAATCCCCATCAATGCCGCGTTATCAGTGTGCAGCAAGCCAGCAGCTGCTTGTGAACGGCTGAGCTATTCCAGCAGCAGGGGCAAAGATCCCCAAGAAAGGAGCTAGGCTCTACAAAAGCCATACGAGGCTAAGCCACCCTTGCAGAGAACCCTTAGGCGGTTTGAGGCATCTCCGCACCAAAGCAGAGCCAAAACCCAAGGAACTGTGGCTGTGCTTAGTTGGAGAGCAGTTTGTGTGGGAGCCACAGTGGGAAGCCTTGGGTTACAGCCCTGGTGTCCTGCTGCAAGGCTTGGGTTAATATTTTCATTTCTTCTTAATAGATGGGGAAACTGAGACCAGTAATAGTTGTGTGGCTCTGAGGAACACTTAAGTCTTCATTATACTTAGCTTTGGCTGCTTTGGAATAAGTAGGAAGAGAATGAAATGAAAATGGCACGCTTCTTAAGATGCTTGAATGTGTTGCTCTGGAGCACAAGATAAGCTTATAGGTAAAGGAAATTTGTTACCTCCTCCCCTTCTTCCCTGATAATAATAGACTCCAGTGGTTGCACAGCACTTCTCAACTGAAAGGTCTTCACAAATCATCTGTCTAGGAGGCAATAGCCCACATGTACCCGTTTCTTGGGTTATTACAATGCCTGAAGCATGCTGCAATGCTCTGCCAAGGACTGTGTGCTCTTCTTGGCCTGCCCGGTGTGCAGCGAGTCAGGCATAAATCTAGTGAAGCTGGACAGGACACACCCTGGTATAATGAGGTAGGTTGGGTTTTGGTCCCTGATAAAGATGCATATTGTAGAAATTTAAAATGTTGGGAAATGGGTATTGCTCACTAAGTGCCCCAAGTGCTTTTTCTGGCTGTTACTTTCCACACCTGAGTGATGACTCAGTGTTGCCAGAGCTGGTGGTGCATTTATAACGTCTCCATAAATAATCATTTGCTTGGAGAATGCTCGTATCTCTTGATTCTTTGATGTTCAGGAACAGTCACCTGAGCCCATTCCTGTATGCCCAAGTACTACAAGAGTGACTGTTCCTCATGTAGCTGCTATTCATAGAACTATAGAATGGTTTGGGTTGGAAGGGACCTCAAAGATCATCTAGTTCCAACCCCCCTGCTACGGGCAGGGACACCTGCCACTAGACCATGTTGCCCAAAGCCTCATCCAACCTGGCCTTGACCACCTCCAGGGACGGTGAACACTTCCAGGGATGGGGCCTCCACAACCTTTCCGGGCAACCTGTTCCAGTGCCTCACCACTCTAACAGTAAAGAATTTCTTTCTAACATCTAATCTAAATCGACCCTCCTTCAGCTTAAACCCATTACCCCTTGTCCTATCCCTATTGTTCACGTGGTGGTGAGGTTGGGTACATGGAGAAGGGCAGTGGCTGTCCTGTAGCCATCGTTTGTCATTGCCTTAAGAAAAAAAAAAAAATAATCACAAGGCCAGTGAGGTATAGCACTAATCACACATGACTTGCGGGACAAATCACAAACCACAACAGAAGGTCTAATGAAATAAATGAGTCACTCCCATCCTGAACATATCCCAAGAGCTTCCACAAATTTCAGGGTCTGCTCCCAAAATGGAAAAGGGCTGATTTATTCACTATGAATAATTCAACCAGCTCCTTTTATTATCCAGAACATACACTAATCCCCCTCTAGATATTTTCTGTGTGACATCCATGTCAGTATTTTATTTATAGGCTGTTTATTGTGCAGAAAATACAAGGATTCTGTTATCAGGGAAAATGAACAAAAAGCAGGGGGTTTGCCTCTAAAATTTGGAGCTAAATAAAATATGAAAATCTGGACAGTGGCTTCCTGGGGACAAAAGCGCTTTTCTTCAGAGATATTTCTGGAGAGCAAAGTCCTAAAGTTAATTAACATCTGTGCTCCCCAGTCCGACACTAAGTGGGGAAAGTGACTGTACTTGGTCAGGTTTCTTAAACTGCAGCATCAGTCCTGGCACACAGGTGCCTCCACACAGCTGAGGTGGCCTCTGGCCCTTGGGCAACATGGGATAAATCAACATTCATAATTAAGTAGGCGGTTCTTGTAAATTCCTTCATGAATCCAATTTCTGGCCTTCTGCTGGCAGGAGTGGCTCTATCCTGCATTCATTTCATGCCAGTCTTTGGAGAAAAGTCACATTTCTTCAGCCAGGCAAAGGGGGGTTTTGCCATGAACCCTTGTGGCAGCCTGGGAAGGATGCTTGCTGAGGTGCTTCACGAATAGTTGTGTGCTTGCTGTTCCTGACCTGAGAGTGTAATTCGTAATTGTGGTGGGTTGACCCTGGCTGAGGG